AGATTCAAGATCTCATTGACAACAAAGTGATAGCACCACCCCAAAAGCCAAATGTAACCACCAACCCTCTTCTAACCCACAACCAGGTTCCTCCACCCCGACACTTAAACTTAATACATACACTGGCCATCCCATATGACCCCAGCGTATACATTACCCCTTCCCACCTACCCAAACCGGCCGTGTTCATTCCTAAAAGCACAGACTTGTGCATGATAAACATGTCTACACCTCAACCTTCAAACATAGCTTTATTAAGTTATTACTCACGATTAACAGATGGCTTCAAGGCAAATAGACAGAATGAGCAAATCAAACGTCTTGTGGCGCGTGACCTACACAGCTACAAAATCAACACGTTCTGAATTACACACCCGGAAACATTAACTTAATTCTTTCTTATCATGGTGTGTTTCTAGTTCTTATCCTCATTATGGTGTCTTAATCTTGGCCTAGGAATGCCTAGGATGGAATGAGGATTCAAAAATGCACTTGAAAACACTTGGTCAAAATGCTGGACACAAAGATCCCTGCTCGAGCGCAGCTTCCTCCGCTCGAGCGGTCATGAAAACATATGAGGGGCCGCTCAAGCAAAACTTCCTTCATTCGAGTGGTCTGCAAACTTTGGAAAAGTACTAGTTGTGTGATTTTCACGCTCGACGGATGCTCGACGGTCACGTGAGCGTGAGACTCATGCCCTCACTCGAGTGTAACTATTACTGCTCGAGCGGTCTGCAAAAACATGGAACTTCTGGGAGCTTGCATTTTACGCTTGAGCGAACTTTTGGTCGCTCAAGCGGAGACTCAAAAACAAAGGTAGCCGCTCGAGCGTAGGATCTGACGCTCGAGACGGATATGTCTTTCTACATTTTATTTTAATTTTTGATTAATTTTTTTCTTCTTATCAACTCTACTTTTTTGGCACGTGTATCACAAAGTTAGTCAACTTAGAGCGAATTATTAATGGCAGGGAGGTAAAGTGTAAATGACAAAAATCGCATGAGTAGTAATTGACTATTTTTAAAACATAAAGGGGTGAAGTGCTCCAGACCTAAACTACATGGGTTTAAAATGGATTTTGCCCTTTTATTAATAAATAATTAAGTTAATTAATAAATTTTAATAATGTTATAAATATATTTTAATTAATAATTTAAGTAATTAATTTTATTATTATATAGGTGAGCAGCTACGTATTTTATTTTTTTAATTAATTCTATTAAATAAAAAATATTGACAAATGGATATTTATAATTTTTTGAATTATAAAGAACAATCTGTATTTTAATTAAGCTCAAAAGACATATTAGAATTTACCCATTTAATTTTTTTAATTTAGATGTACGTTATATCCAAAATGTTATAAATATGTTTAATTATCAAATTAGGTACAGTGAAATTGATGGATGAGATTTAGAGTGATGGTATTAAGTTTAACATAAATTGCGTTTGTTGTGCACAATGTGTTGATATTGTTTAAAATTAAATATATAAAATTACGTAAAATCTACATATTACATACGCAAAAAGGAGTTTCTAACCCCCAAGTCTTGTGGGAGCTCCAATATCCCAATCTAAATTTCTTTATTTTTGATTTAAAAAAAAAATCTTAGCATTTATTAATTTCTCCTAAACCCCAAGCCTTACCCTCATAATAAATGACTCAATTCCAAAGTTGCAAGGTTGAACTCTTGCCTAGGCTACCCAATTGAGCTTCAATTAGTCAAAATCTTGAGTAATTCTCTAAATCTCCTTGCAATGGCCTTCTCTACTTCAAGTTTGGTCCCAAGTTCTTTAGTCTCTCACTCTCTCTCACGTTGAGCTCAAAGATGAGGGAATGAGGGTGTCAAAATGTATAGGAACAGGTAGGAGTGGCCTTATATAGGCTTGCTTAGTGGTAATTAATTAATTGGGCTTAAGATAAGAAAGGCGGCATTAATTAATCTAATTTAATCATTCCGAATCGAATTTCAATTAAACCTACTATAAAATTCTAAAAATTCTAATTAACGTAAAAACCAAGTCAATTTCTGAATCAGATGCCGATAAGGCCTTTAATTTGCAAATCGAAACGAAAGCCTGAACAGATCTTCCTACGTGTAACAGATATAAATACAAATAAGGCAATATATGATGCAAAATTTCACTTTAGTTACTCATTAGGAATAATTAAGCATGGATTAACATTAATCATGGGTCGGGGTTGTTACAGTCTTCCCCCTTAAAGAGTTTTGTCCTCCAAACTCGAGTTACCTTCGTTTTAGAAGAATGTCAGGTCCAACGGAAATAAATCCAGATATCTCTTCATCATATCTTCTTTCGTTACCCATGTAGCAAAAGTCCTTCCATGATTTTTCCAATCAACTTTCACCAATGGAATTTTCTTGTTCCTCAATCTCTTGATTCTTCAGTTAACGATTTGAGTTGGTCGTTCTTCATACGTATAATCATCCTTCATAAGTACATGTGTCGGCTTAATAACATGGAATGGATCCCTTAAATAGTCCCGAAGCATTGAAACATGAAAGACATTGTGCAAATTTTCCATGATTGGAGGCAAGGCTACCCGATACGTCACCGGGTTAATTTTCTCAAGGATTTCATAAGGTCCAACATATCTCGGTGCGAGCTTGCCTTTTACACCAAACCGTGTCTGACCTTTCGTTGGAGTCACTTTTATGAACACGTGATCTCCGACCTCATACTCTCTGTTTCTTCTTCGGACATCTGCATAACTCTTTTGGCGACTCTGTGTAGTCTTCAGACGTTGTTGTATCATTTTTACTTTTTCAGTTGTTTCTTGCACAAGTTCCAGTCCCAACAATGGTCTGTCACCTACCTCGGCCCAACAAACCGGACAATGGCACTTCCTACCATACAAAGCATCATAAGGAGTCATGTCAATACTTGAATGGTAACTATTGTTATATACAAACTCGGCTAATGGTAAGTAGGTTTCCCAACTGCCTTGAAAGTCTAGGTCACACATCCATAACAAATCTTTCAACGTTTGAATGGTTCGTTCAGATTGGCCATCTGTCTGTGGGTGATAAGCACTGCTTAGTCTCAATTCGGTTCCCAGAGCTTGCCGTAGACTCTGCCAGAATCTTGAAGTGAACTTAGGATCTCTGTCAGAATGTATATAAGTGCCCATATAATAAATTTTACTTTCAACCAAAATATAAAAATAAAAATAATAACTAGTTATCTCCATCCATCCAAAATGCAAAAAATAATAATAATAACTAGTTATTTTTTCTTCTTTTTAAAAAAAAAAAAAGAAAGATGCGGG